GCATCTGTGCCAAAAAAGATACTTTATATGAATACTGTAATTCACACATTATTGGTCGTCAACTTTAACAGTATAATTTAGAACAACACCTGCTTAAGCGAACCACATTGTGCTTTCAATTAGATCTCATCTGCAGGCTTAACTCTAATACACCTATATAACTTTGCAAATATAAATCCAAATGTAAACCAATCATCATGGTGTTTTGTCTATAGGGTAACAAGATGGTGAATATAAATTGTGCAATTAGTCATAATGATAATAATAATAAAGGTTTTTTGTATTTCCCAATGAATGACAAACAAAACGATATTGTTTCTCTTACTGACGTTTCACTATTAGCCTAGTTATTATTATTAAACCAGAATTTAAAAAATCTCAGCTTATATATATAACAACTTAATCATTGTTGATTATAAACAATTTAAATTAACCCCAGAGTGTCCAAGAAAAAGAATCAAAGCAAGAGTTTTCTGAACGTCTCGCTGTGTTATCATAGTCCCTCAGCATGGGGGCATTTTCGCGTTGTCAAGTTGGCACATTGGTAAAGAGATAACAAAACCAGGTGTTGATTGTTGGATTTGATAAGTGTATAAAATTATAAAAAAGCGCGGGTAACGCCTGCTGGTCGGCAGATACGGTGGTGGTGGTCACAAATGTGAATCGCTCCAATCTGTAGGATAGCAACATGCATTTTTTGACAACTCGAGAATTAAACGTTAGTCTGGATCCTCAACAAAAAAGAAGTAATAAGGGTTGTACAGATCTAAAGTTTAAAAAAACATACTTTCGCTCCTACCATCTAGGAGCCTGCTCAGCTCCTTGTCATGATGCCGCCTTACGGGCCATACAGAAATTCTTGAGATATCTTACAGGTCAGCTTGTCCTGCACGTTCTAATCTTCCAGATCTTTGAATTCACTTCTCACTTAAATATCACTTACCTACCTCACACTAATCTTTTTATTTGCGCACTGTTATACTCTATCTGATCTTAACTACCTAGGCCTTTATTAAAGCTAAAACTTGCTTTTTGTTCATATTCGTTGCTTGCTTAAAATGCGGTTGCTTTGATGAAAAACACAACAATACCAATGTTTGAACAGAGCTCTATTTTCATTGAAAATGTCATGGTTTCCATGCTGAGACCAATAAGGTTTAGCATTAAACATTGCAAATGTATACTATCATTCCAAGGAGTCTCCAGCTCATTCTTGCATATATCTTGTAAATGTACTTCCTTTTGTCATTTCTTTACGTTCCCAGTGGAACATAGCGAGGGCTTCAAGCTAGAGGCTTGAAGTTTCTGTAGCAGTGGTGTTTACTTTTACGGGACGGGGATGCCTTCCCTCTTTACCAGTTTTATTACTGCCTTAGCATGGTGAAGGAGTGCGTCGGTGGCCGGGGATCGAACACATGCACGGTCAGCGAGCATTCTACCGCTGTGCCACTGACGCACACAAAATGTCCTTCCGATGATGCACTATCCATAATTGCATTTTTTATACCATTGTACAGTTTCTCAGGACGTTCTCCTCTTCCTGAAATAGCTATTAATCACGTGGGGGCATAGTACTTGACAAACTATAGGCTGTTCACCGGTTGGCCATAACTATCAGCAAGCAACGGAGTGAAGTTTGTATTGTCGCTCAACCTTGATGGTGAGAAGCTTACAATTTAACCTTTATACGAATCTGTTCTGATTCATCATCATCATCATAATCAGTCCCTTGACTTTCGTCGTGGGGGTGCTATGACAGTTCGCGCTATCAGTCTTCGCCATTCTTCTCGGTTTAATGCTATTTTCTGTAGCGTATCCAAGGGCATTTCAGTCCACTCTTTTATGTTGTCAAGCCAGCTCTTATTCGGTCGACCTCTCTTTCGTGCTCCTCCTACTGTGCCTTGTAGAATCGTTTTGGACAGTGTGTCATGTCTTACCGTGTGGCCGAACCATTGTAGTTTCCGTTTCTTTACGATTGAAAGGAGTGGTTCCTGTTTTCCTGCCAGTCTATGGACCTGGTGTAAGACATATTCATTAGTTTTCCTTTCAAGGTAACTTATTCCTAGGATCCTTCTATAGCTTTTGTTTTCGAAGGCTTGTATTCTTCTTTCTGTCTCTGCATTCAGGGTCCAGCTCTCACATCCATATAGGAATACAGAGAGGACCAGTGACGAGTAGAGTTTCATTTTTGCTGAGACGCTGATGTTGCTCTTCCATATTTTCCCTAACTTGGACATGGTGGCAGAGGCTAGGTTTAGTCGAATTTTTATTTCCTTAGTGGACCTTCCATCTTTTGTTAGGGTAGACCCAAGGTATTTGAAAGTTTCAACCTCTTCTAATACATGTCCATCAAGTCTGATACATCTATCTGAGTTGTTTCCTCCGTTAATGATTTTTTTTTTTCTGTGCTGATTTCCATGCCCACAGATTTGGTTGCAACATCAAGTCTTGAGGTGAGGTCCTGAACTTGATCAATGTTTTCCCCAATGAGGCCTATATCATCAGCAAATCTGAGGTTGGAAATTGGTCTTCCGTTTATGCTAAGTGTCGGTGTAAAGTCATGTAGGGTTTGTGTCATAATATGTTCGAGGAATAAATTAAAGAGGACTGGTGAGAGAATGCACCCTTGGCGTACTCCTATAGTTGTTCTGAAGAACTCGCCAGTTTGATTATTTAGAGATACTGCACTACTAGATTTGTTATATAAAGACTTAATAACCTCAATTATGTTTTTATCTATATTGTAGTTATTCATGACTTGCCATAAGCCTTCGTGCCACACACGGTCAAAGGCCTTCTTAAAATCGATAAAGTTGTGTACTGATTACCTGTACAATAATCCAGGAATTTAAACTTTTGAAAAAGTATTAATTTATGATACTTCACGATTGTGACTTATAACATAACTGATCGTGCCTGTAAAAATGGCATGCATTTCTTGTAAACTTCCCCGTTTATACGAAACATAAATTATTATTATTATTAAATGACTGGCGTCAAGTGTCGAGTCCTTTGTTTACTGCAGACTGAATCCTATCGGTCAAATTATGCTATGAGGCTAATACGCCAAGTGGCTGGCGATTACATCACAGTACACTCTGAATTGTTGTCATTGCACGGTTCAGGCAAAAATCGACAGGAAGCCCTTTCTACACCTAGGTCTCTTGCTTGTTGGCACATTCACCTGTCATCAAGGAACTCATATCCCTTCTGAAATTCGAACTCGTATCAACCAGTGCTGCAGTCAGAGGCATTACCACCATCCAGCTATTCAAACTCGCCATTGACCTCCTGTAGTAGTGTACAAAAAATACTCTGCTTGGACATCAGATGGTAGTGAGTGTGACCAGTATGAAGTCTCTAGTCTCTTGTCTAATAATACCACACAGTCTACAAGGATTATTATTTGTAGGCAAAAAGGTTAAAGCATTTTCGCCACACACACACACACACACCGAGAGATGTCGTCATTCAATCTACCAAATCACAGCTGGAAGTGTCATCCAATTATATTAAATTAACAATGTATACCAAACTGCCTGTAATTTCAGATAAACTTATCCAATAGTCACCTCTCTATGTCAACTTCATCGACTTTGAAAAGGCTTTCGACAGCGCAGCGTCGATCGAGAGGTGATTTGGAAACTACTTCGCTAATACCAAGGGGTGCCACCGACAATTATACATACCATCCAACAGTTAGTTGCATGACAAGTAATCCACAACGGGAAACTTACGGAATCCTTCTAAGAAGTGAGGACAGGAGTAAGACAAGCTGGCTGCCTACTATCGCCAATGTTTTTCCTGATTGCAGTAGATTGGATAATGCGACAAACAGCGGGCAATGAGGGAACAGGCATAAAATGGACTCACACAAAAAGAGACTTGGAGGATCTGGACTTCGCCGATGATATATGTCTGATTTCCCACAAACTGGAAGACATGCAAGCGACAAACAACAAGTTGGCAGGAGAAGCATCCAGAGAAGATAGGACTTCAGGTGAACATAGAGAAAACAGAGGTAATGAAGATTCCTGGACAAGGACAACAACAACAGACAACAATCAGTCGGCCTAAATGGGAGGAACCTGGAAGAAACAACCTCTTTTACCTGCCTACCTGGGGAGCATCGTTTCAACCACAGGCCGACGGAACTGACGAGGATATCAAAGCAGCAAGAATCGGGAAAGCAAGACAAGCTTTCACTACTCTCAAGTCTGCGTGGAGGTCAACAGCACTACTCAGCATCAAAAATAACATCCGGATTTTCAACTTCAATGTGAAGTCAGTCAGTGCTACTTGCTATACGGATCAGAGACTTGGCCAGCGCGTCATAAAGAGCATCTCAAACAAACTACACACCTTCATCAACAGCTGGTTGTCTTCGCTCAATACCACTCAAGATCAGATGGCCGACTGGCCAGAAAAGATCAGCAACAGGCTGGGATCTCTGGCAATGAGCGAACCAACACAGCAGGAACCGATTGTGAAACAAATAGGCAGGAAGAAATGGAGATGGACTGGATTGTGGCCATACTCTGAGGAAACAAACCATCAAGTGAGTGACATCACTAAACAAGCCACTGCTCGAGTGGAACCCGAAAGGCAAGCTGCGATTTGGTCGTCAGTGCAAGGGTGAGGGTGACTTGGAGGAGGTCATGTGAAGAGGAGATGATGAAAACGTGTGTGATGGCAGACATGGAGCCAGGTGAATACTCTAGCAGAGAACCGAACGCAATGGAGACGTGCACGGCTGAAGCCCTATGTTCCTCTAGAAATCAAAGGAAACAATAATAATCGGCAATTATAATCTACCACTGTAGAAACTCTGTTTTTACACCAAAACTTACCTAAGTTTAAAAAAAAAAAAGATATACCCACCATCTGAACACTTAGTCATCATTAATAATTATTTCATAATAACATTGTTTGGGTTTTGTTAGCTGTAACAACACAACATAACACACGAAGGAATTATCTGTGATACATTAATGTGTGTGACTTGTAACTTGCTCAGATTTATTTCTTTAATAAAAAAAGGATTTACTTACACATGTATGTATAAGGCGGTTGTGTAGGCACAAAACGGGTATATGCTTATGAATTAACGGAGAAGGCCAAATGCACACACACACAGAAAGTGGAAATGCACAGCTCTATTTTTTCTTGTTCTCTTTATAATATAACATCATATATATATATATATATAAAAAATATGAAACAAACAGTGAATAGAAAAACAAAGAGGTGTTAACAAAGGTTAACATAATGGTGAGAGAGAGAGAGAGTTAGCGATGCTGTTCAAGCTCCATATTGCCCAAATCGATTTCGTCATCATTGTATATATTTTCGGCCTGAAAGAAAAAGAAATAAAAAAAAAGCCAACACAAACGAAAATGTTAAATTTTTAAAAAATATTCCCATTTTTTAATATTAGAACAAGACATATAATAGGCGAACAATATTGTTGTTTTCAATTAGATCCCCTTCTTCAGGCTTTACTCTAATTTACATAGATTTATATATAAAACAAAATTTAACCAATGACAGTGATTTTGTGGATCAAATAATGATAATAACAATAATAATAATAATAATAATGTGGTAAACGTTTTGAACGTAGTTAATAACGATGATTATAATGATAACAAAATAATGACAATAAGGTTTATGCAGGTGGCGATAAGAATAACAAAGGTAGTGATATGCGTGTATATGTAAATATGCGGGTGACATAGTAGTACATAGTTTAACTAAGGTACTAGGTAACGTCTGGGAATCAGAGATGGTTCCTTCAGATTGGGGTAAGTCACTTATTATACCAATATTCAAGAAGGGAGACAAGTCCTCATGTGATAATCATAGAGGAATCAGCCTGACGAACATAGTCTCTAAAATCCTAGGCTCAGTATTCATGAACAGACTAAGTCGAACTCGGGAGGAAAAATGAGGGAAAATCAAGCAGGCTTTAGGCCAGGTAGAGGGTGCATAGATCATATCTTCACTCTCCGACAGATCCTAGAACATAGACACACTTTTAGGCGTCCAACAATTGCCATATTTATTGACTTGAGGGCGGCCTTCGACTCCGTGGATCGAAAGGTAATATGGCAATGTTTGACTGTGCCAAGAAAGTACATTGCACTAATCAAGGCACTCTACTCAAACTCACGTAGCCGTGTAAGGGCTTATGGGGAACTGTCATCTGAATTGATAACAACCAGTGGTGTCCGTCAAGGATGTCCACTTTCCCCATTCCTGTTTAACTTCATCATAGATATGCTAATGGAAGTATCCTTAACTGAACTTAACGACTTAGGAATCGACTTGTTACCAGGGAATAGTCTTATGGACTTAGAATACGCAGACGACATAGTCCTGTTAGGGGAGGATGCTGACAAAATACAGCAGAGTCTTCTGAACACCTTGAGCAGCAATCTTCGTATGTTTGGAAGGCGATTCGCCCCTGTAAAATGTAAGATGCTGCTACAGGAATGACTGGACTACGTCAACTCCTAGCTTAGTAGTGATAGGGAATGAAGTGATAGAACATGTTGACCACTTCACCTATTTGGGAAGTTGTATCAGCACCAGCGAATTGATTGGTGACGAAATCTCAGCACGGATCCAAAAAGCTCGAGCTGCTTTCGCTAACTTACAGCATCTCTGGCGTAGGCGTGACATCCGGCTATCAACCAAGGTACGTGTGTACTGCTCAGCAGTTCGCTCCGTCCTTCTCTATGGCTCTGAAACATGGCCAATACCAGTTGAAGACATGAAAAGGTTGTCTGTTTTTGATCACAGATGTTTACGATCTCTTTCTCACGTTAGGTGGCATACATAATAAGGTAAGTAATGTCGACGTTAGGTTGGGCGTAGAGTGTTGGGCAAAGAGGGAAAATTAATCGAAGAGGCTATTAAGTTACATATATTGAGATGGCTAGGTGACGTGCTGCGCATGCCTAACCATCGCCTGCCCCGACGGGCATTACTAGCTGATATAGGTGAAGGTTGGAAAAGAGTAAGTGGTGCCATGCCAAACAAAAACATGGCATAAACCAATCCATGAAATCCTTGACAGTTAAACTGAGTCAGTCAGGTAGGGAGATGCAGACTTCCGGGTTGGGGCCCGCCCTCGGGACCCTAAGAATCAATCAATGACTGGAGACAATAGGTGACATACATGGCTCAAAATCGTTGTCAATGGCTTACGCAGATGTATTCAGTCTCTTGTGTGTATGTTTGGCATGCGATTAGCCCCTGTAAAATGTAAGATGTTGCTACAGGACTGGACTACGTCAACTCCTAGCTTAGTGATAGGGAATGAAGTGACAGGACATGTTGACCACTTCACCTATTTGGGAAGTTGTATCAGCACCAGCGAATTGATTGGTGACGAAATCTCAGCACGGATCCAAAAAGCTCGAGCTGCTTTCGCTAACTTACAGCATCTCTGGCGTAGGCGTGACATCCGGCTATCAACCAAGGTACGTGTGTACTGCTCAGCAGTTCGCTCCGTCCTTCTCTATGGCTCTGAAACATGGCCAATACCAGTTGAAGACATGAAAAGGTTGTCTGTTTTTGATCACAGATGTTTACGATCTCTTTCTCACGTTAGGTGGCATACATAATAAGGTAAGTAATGTCGACGTTAGGTTGGGCGTAGAGTGTTGGGCAAAGAGGGAAAATTAATCGAAGAGGCTATTAAGTTACATATATTGAGATGGCTAGGTGACGTGCTGCGCATGCCTAACCATCGCCTGCCCCGACGGGCATTACTAGCTGATATAGGTGAAGGTTGGAAAAGAGTAAGTGGTGCCATGCCAAACAAAAACATGGCATAAACCAATCCATGAAATCCTTGACAGTTAAACTGAGTCAGTCAGGTAGGGAGATGCAGACTTCCGGGTTGGGGCCCGCCCTCGGGACCCTAAGAATCAATCAATGACTGGAGACAATAGGTGACATACATGGCTCAAAATCGTTGTCAATGGCTTACGCAGATGTATTCAGTCTCTTGTGTAATCTTTCATATTCCTTTCTACCATTACTCATTCTGTTTCACTCTTATACCTGTCAAAACTCTATTGATTCTCTTCACTCACATTATTGTCTACCTTTGTGTGCTCTTTGGAACGTGGCAACTCGAACTGTTGCACTTCGGTGCCAAGTTCTATGTTGAATCCAGCAGCAGCAGGGTGGCCAGAAAGAAACAAGAAACTGTCGCTGGCAATGAACAAACCAACCAACAGCTGCCGATCGCTCGACAAATATATCGGAGGAAATAGATATGAACTGATCGGGCATACGCTGAGGAAGAGGCCGTCGAATGATATGGCATACATTGCAGGCCATTGGCTCGAGTGGAATCCCAATGAGAGGCGACGGGCGAATGGATCGTCGGCGCGAGTGTGACATGGTGGAGATCGTGTGGGGGAGTTGGAGGGAGAGGAGATGAGCGATAATGGGGATTCCACACAGTATTCTTTTGGTACAGGTATGGAATTTTCAGCATGTGATATCGGTAGCCCAAATTTTGCAGGCCGACCATAGAGATATCAGGTGTGCGACAGCAGGGCATTGAACCACGGACCATGTGCATGGTCGGCGAGAGTCCTAACCACTGTGCCACCGACGCACAGATAAAAACAAGTTAAAATGATGACAAAGCTTTCAAAACAGTCACACTAACACCTAAAAAGTAGTTTTATCAGTTAGGTGTGCCACATTTACTCCTAAAACAAAGAGAAAAAACAACTCATCAAGTAAAATATCTCAGTAACCTCAGTAACAACTTACCATTTGCCAAATTTGTAAAATATTATCCTCAGAAACAGAACAAATCGTCCATGGGTCATTAATATTCCATGAAAAATCGGAAATTTTTGCTGTATGCCCAGCATGTATAAATAATAATTCCGGTGGACCATCATCTGCATCTTCAGGAGACTGATCAATACCAATTTTGCTTAAATCCCAAACATGAAGACGTCGGTCAGTACCTGAACTAGCGAGTATTGTTTCATTGTGCGGTGACCATTGAACCTGTTAGTGTAAGAATAATAATAATAAACATATTCAATAAGTATTATAATAAAACCAATAATAATAATAATAAACCACGCACTCCTAGGTCCCGCTAAGCTGGTGGTAGTAAAGAGGCGAAGTTGGGCGTTAGGCTAACAAAGCCACTACTCCAGAAACTTTGGAGATCAAACTTGAAGCCCTATGTTCTACGAGGAACGTAAAGGAATAAAATCAATGATAAGTAGTTTTACCTAGAAAACATAACACCACATTCGAGCTGAAGAAGCGTCGGAGGAAAGAGTTTAGTTGTTCTACAAAGTACGGTTGGCGTTGGTGTTTCAGTTGGAAACCATTTCCTCAAACTGTTCAAAACCATGATTATCATTATTATTATTTCCTTTAATTCCTAGAGGAACATAGGGCTTCAGCCGTGCGTCTCCGTTGAGTTCGGTTCTCTGCTAGAGTCTTCACCTGGCTCCATGTCTGCCCACATGCTTTCATCTCCTCTTCATATGATCTCCTCCAAGTCACCCTCACCCTTGCACTGATGACCAACTCGCCGCTTCCATTTCGGTCGGGTTCCACTCGAGCAATGGCTTGTCTAGTGATGTCACTCATTTGATGGTTCATTTCCTCAGAGTATGGCCACAATCCAATCCATCTCCACTTCTTCCTGCCTATTTGTTTCACAATTGGTTCCTGCTGTATTGGTTCGCTCCCAGAGATCTCTGTTGCTCATCTTTTCTGGCCGGCCATCTGATCTTGAGTGGTATTGAGCGAAGACAGCTGTTGATAATGGTCTGTAGCTTGTCTGAGGTGCTCTTTATGACGTGCCACGCACTGACTTCATAACATTGGAGTTGAAAATCTGGCTCTTATTTTTAATGCTGAGTAGTGCTGTTGATCTGCTCCAAACAGACTTGAGAGTAATGTAAGCTTGTCTTGCTATCCCGATCCTCACTGCTTTGATATCCTAGTCAGTTCTGTTGGCCTGTAGTTGAAACGATGCTTCCCAGGTAGGTAACAACAACAACAACAACAACAGTAGTTGATGTCATTTTCATTCAAGCATCGAGATTACTCTACTTTGGTCAACAATTCGGAAGACTGACACATACACACACACACACAAACACAAACCCAGAAACCAAATGTCTATCACACAAATCACATTGGTACAACCTGATACAACTATTCACATTTTTTATAAGAAGCATGCTACCTTACGAGATAATTTCACGCAGATAAATCATCACAATTAATTTTTTTTAAAATAATAATCACTTTATTCCACAACAATAACAATTTACACCATGGAATTTTCAGCGTTTCTTTTACATATTGAACAGATGTGTGTTAGTTAAAGTCTCCACAATCCCTCCACTCCTTGTAGCACACAAAGCAACAGAAGAAAGCAAAAATGAAATGCATAATAGAGAGAGACAGTAAACAGAGGTGTGAGACAAAGGAATAGTAATAACGGAGAACAAAAGAGTTTCATTGGAAATCATAAGTTACAAGGAGTGGATGCATCTGCGCTAGCCATTAAGAAGGATTTTGAGCTAGTCATATCACCAATTGTTTCCAGCCTTCATTGGTTTTTACCGTCCCGAGGACCCCAACTAGTCAGGAAGCCAGTCTACACCTTCCTACGTGGCTTAGACTAACTGTTGTAGATTTTATTGACTGGTGAAGCCATGTTTTCGTTTGACCGCCTCTAGCTCTTTTTCAGCCTGACCCATCCTATGTCAGCTAACATTACCCATTGTCTAGGAAGGCGATGACTAGGCATATATGCGTAACACATGTCCTGACCATCTCAGTCGATGTAATTTCACAGTCTCGTCGATTGATTTCCCCTCCCACCTATCTAGCGCTCGACTGATGTGTAACCTCAATATTGCTCACCTTGTTGTACCACTTCACACGGGAGATAGAGCGCAGGCACCTATGATCAAAAACAGCTAATCTTTTCATATCTTCCACTCTCAGTTGCCATGTCTCACTCACGGCCATAAAGGAGGACGCAGCAGTACACCCACTCTTTGATCGATAGCCGGATATCGCATCTACGCCAGAGACGGCGTAAACTGGCATATGCGAAACAAGCTCTCTGTATCCAGGCTGAGATTTCGTCAGAGATCAACCCGTTGGCACTGGTTGATGGTACTTCCCAAATAAGTGAAGCGGTCAACATGCTCTACCACTTCACTCCTTATTTCTAAGCTAGGAGTGAGTCGGTGTAGTCCAGTCCTGTAACATCATCTTACATTTTACAGGGGCGAATCGCATGCCAAATATTTGCAGATTGCAGTTCAAGGCGTTCAGAAGACTCTGAATTTTGTCAGAGTCCTCACTTAGAAGGACTATATCGTCCGCATATTCTAAGTCAACGAGATTATTCTCTGGTAGCAAGTCAATCCCTGAGTCTCTGAAGTGAGTTAGTACATCTATGACGAAATTGAATAGGAATGGGGATAATGGGCATCCCTGACGGACACCACTAGTCGCCACCACTTAAGATGACAACTCGCCGTAAGCCGTCACCTGGCTGATTACATGAGTTCGAGTAGAGTGAGTGCCTTGATCAGTGCAATATATTTTCTCGACATTCCTTTCACAGTCAAGCATCGCCCCGATACAGACATTTTACCGATATAATTTTCACACGTCTTTAATGATGGCTATTTGTATTCTAATGGAATCATGGATTAATAACGGTAGGGCATGAGGAAGGAGTTATGGAAAACAATTGTTCGCTCATAATCTCATTCTGTTTTGATTATATAGACTACGGGGATTTTTTAATTTACTGAAAACTAGATGAAAACCTCTACTCGAAAATAGCTATCCAGAAAAGTTCGCCAAGAAACAGATGACAAAGAAAGTAGAAAAAGAATTCAAGGCCTGCTATATAACAAGCGAAATAATTACGAAGAAATTAAGAAAATCATTTCAAAGAATTTTTAATGCTGGCGAACTATACGTCTTATTCTCTATGCAACCGATGGTGATCCCTCGGCTGAAAGATGAAGTACCTAGACTACCTGGCCACCTCTAATTGTATTTACCAATTCAACTACAACTGCTCTTGTGGAGCGAGTTATATTGGCCGTTTCTGTAGGAACTTTGACTTTTCGTGCTCGAGAACATCTCCCAGTATGGCTAAGTAAGGGTGTAGTGAAAACCACCATCAGTTCGATATTAGACCAAGTGGCCCAAAGCTATTATTATTGAAGAAGCCTTCTCTATCATCATCTATCGGGTGCCAAATAAATTGCCAAAATCACCGAGGTACCGCATGCTTCAAACAGCAGAGGCCATTGCAATTCGCCTGAAGCAACCAGTGATCTGTTTACAAAAGAAACAGGTCCAACTAATCACTATTACTGCCCTGGCCTGCTGTGGCGTCTGCAGATTCATAAATACCTTATTACATTGGCCTTTTTGATATGGCCCTCCATTCTGTACGCTTAAATCCCCGTACCCCTCGTTATCACACCTGCTTTCCTATTTAGACGTAGCTGTTAACTTACACACTGAGACCTATGCACACACACATACACAAAGCACAGAACCTTCTACCCCAAATTCTATCCCTCTCCCTGTCCTTGACAGCACACCATTCACCCATCAATAAACAGGAAGTTTGCGTAAGAAAGTCAATGGGTTAGTCAAAGAAGACTTCCGAACAAGTTCAATCCATCCCGAAGAAGATACTTCTGCTTAATCTAGAATACAAAGGTGACATTGGAGCAGAAATCCTTCGTAAACGCCTCTGCAAATCTCTGAGGAAGACATACTTCGCCGCGAGCCTACGACTGATGTTTCCGTGGAAAAACGCGAAAGACAAACTGTAGCATTGGGCCACTTCAACGTGCATATACCAGTTCACTTGCTCTCTGGCGGAGCTGAGTACATCGGGCGTACCATGCGCCAACTTGAAAAACGCGCTCGTGAACACTATCCAGCTTGGCTAGTAAAAGGACGACGAAAACGGGTATATAGTTCAGTGACGGAACATCTGGTCAATTTAGGACATTCAGCGCCATTCGAAAAGTCCTTCAAAATAATATACAAGATTCGATCAAACCTATCAAAGGGAGTAAAATAAAGACATCTGGGCATAGCCGAGGCACTAGCCATCCAAAAGCTCAAACCCACGCTAGGTATCCAAAAGAAATACGTCCACCCCTTGTCCCTGCCGTGGACAGGTAATTCTTCTAATAGTGACTATCCAATTGACTTTCTTATCCAAACTTCCTGTTTATTCATGTTATTTTTAAGTTTTTCTTAATCCCTCCTATTTACACTACCATATTTTCATATCCGAACTTCCTGTTTATTTTGTCATTTTATTATTTCTACATATTTAATCCCTGATTGCATAAACAAGTATTCGTCAAATTAGTGATGTTCCCACTAGATTTTTTGTTATCCAAGCATCCTGTCTATCTATTTTGTTATTTCTACATTTCTAACCCCCAACTGCACAATCAGTGTCAATCTTCTCAGTAATTATGATACTATTTTGTCTGAGCTTTATCCGTCCCACCGCCCTGTTTATTATGGCATTCTAATTCCTAATTGTAATTTTTATCAATTTGACCCTTAACCGGAAATTATTCTGGAAATTTCTCATCCATTTGATATAAATACACGAATGTACAACCTTGTCGTTGATGATTTCGTCGAAAAGAAAATTTTCTTCCTCGCTGCAACTGTCTTTTTATTATTCCCTATGATCAAATGTGTACATTCTTTCATTATTATGGATGGATGCATATAACAACTGTAAAACCTGATGATAAAGAGCAGGCAGGTTATCATTGAAAATGTAAATATTCTTTGTTTAGTAATCAATCGCTTGAAGACAAATAGTTAAAAACAGGCCTATATATATGTATAGGCATTATAGATAGTCTCAATAGACTGGTACTAACCTGAAATATTTCATCTCGATGAGATTCAAAAGAGTGCAGTTTCAATCGCAGATTGCGTAGATCCCAAAGAGCCACCGTCTGAAAGTAACATATAAAGGAGTAATAAATCTGTTCGACCGGCAAGTACCAAAGAAAACTTCAAACTATCAACAACACCTATTATCATGAGCTGACATTAGTTAGAGAACCATTGGAAAACCTGAGGGGAGTACTGGACAGTTGTTTCGTCCTAGTTTGAGACTCTTCATCAGTACGCACCCATCGGGATTTGAACCCAGGAGCTTCTGGCTACAAGGCGAACTCGTATACCATTGAGCCACTGAGACCCGATCCAATTGCCCATGAATTCTAACTAACTTCTGCCAATTCACCCCTAGCCAATGTCTTGGGCGAGTATTTGTCCTCACATCCGGCCTGCTACACCCTACTGGTCACGACTTCTCACTAGAACCCCAGGTTTTCCAATGGTTCTCTAACTGATGTCAGCTCATGATGAAAATCCTGTAACCAATCAAATCCCTACAAACCAACACTTGAACACCTATTATATAGTTTCAATATTAGATGAATTTATCTAACATAATACAGAGTGAAGTTTTAATAATTAAATAAAGTTATGAACACAATCCCGGCCGATAACTGCTACCTTGTCGTGGTGGTCGGGCTTAAATACCGCAATGACCCAAGAAGCTGAACTGACTGGGACTCTGTCTGTACAGGTCCTACCATGTCAGGGAGGTTTTCTGGATAGCGGTTAAACTAAAAGCAGTTATTATGGGGTACATGGGCTCCAGTTCCCAATTGGATCGAATGGCGTATGAACCCATATGGGTCACCGGCAACCATGGGAACGCAGCACCTGACGCTGCTCCGCTGCCTTGCGGATTAGACTCCAAGTCAAAGGCTCGGGGGGTGGTCCCTTAATAAAACCACCTGCTTCGGTCTGGGCGCCCGGGCAGTATCTCAGCCCGCACACAATGAATGAATTGAAGCAACGAATTCTCATTGAAACTCAACGCGCGCTAGTAAAAATGATTCCAAGCAATACTGATCCCTTAAGCAACTTATTTCCTTCCTATCTTACTTTTATTTTTACACATAGTTTCCTGTATTTTACCTTTGCTAACCTTGGCTTCTTAACCTTCGACAGCCTTTCGCCTTTGTCGAGATTCCCAGCTTATCTCTGCCATTTCGAGATGTTAGTGAGTAGTCCTCAAAATGGTTGTTCCCAATGTGACTTCTAACACAGATATCCTGAAACCGCGTGCTGCGTTCAAGCTGGCTACCTACAATGTTCGGACGCTGATGCAAATCGGACAACAGGCAGGGTTGGCAAGAACTTTGGAAAGCCTCGCTATCGATGTCTGCTGCATTTCTGAGACCCGCATTCAAGATCCCAGTGAAGTGCTTCGACTATCCTCTCCATCTGGAAGTTCTAGTAGTATGTACCACCTGCGCTTATCCGGGGACCCTGTGGCATCGGCATCCGGCGTAGCTGGTGTCGGTGTCGCACTGAGCGCTAGAGCCAAAGCTGCACTGCTCGACTGGATTCCCATTAACAGTCGTTTATGTGCTGTGAGGCTGGAAGGATATACGAAAGTAAGGAGTAGTAGGCCAGATAGGTGGTGTCTATTTGTTGTCTCTGCCTATGCACCGACGGATTGCAGCCCGGATGCAATGAAGGATGAGTTTTACTACCAACTGAGCGATCTGTTGAAACAGGCGGGTGAGAGGGATATCGTAGTGCTAGCTGGGGACTTGAATGCACAGGTCGGGCGTTTGAGCTCAGAGGAGAATTGTCTAGGTGGTCAGGGGGGACTACATGGTCGCAGGTCAGATAATGGGGACCGTCTTCTGCAGCTTTGCGCGGATCACAACCTATTTCTAGCCAGCACCAACTTCCGGCACAGCCATCGCCGTAGCGCTACCTGGCGTCCTCCCTCTGCGAAGCAAGCTTGGACTCAGATTGATCATATTGCGGTCAGTTTCCGGTGGCGAGGATGCATACAAGACTGTCGCTCCTTCTGGAGCACATGCCTGGACTCCAATCATGCGTTACTGTGTGCCAAGTTCGTCTTGCAATTTAGTGGGGTTCGTAAAAACCGTCGTCTAAGCGTTGATGTGAGCAAACTAGTAGCACCTGCTACTTTTTTGAAATACCAGAATGAGTTGAAAACAATGCTTGCCAGCAACCCCCCAAGTAGTATAGCTGAACACTGGCTTCATGTGCAAGGTGCCATGCAAAAGGCGAGTGTAGCCGCTTGCGGCTTGAAAGAATGCTCCGCTAACAACCACTGGGTTTCTGCGAGTTCTTTGCAACTCCTGGATGAACGCCGGTCCATTCCGGCTGGCAGTGAATACAACAATCAGCGAAAGGCGCTCACGCGCAAGATTAGACAGTGTTTACGTAAGGACCGCGAAGCCTGGTGGTCAGATGGAGTCAGCTGCTGCATCTGGCAGCAGCTGGAAGCTGTTCCAACTCATACGAGCCACCGGCAGCAAGAAACAAGGTGTCAGCGAGACGGTCTGTGAGGCAGATGGCACTCCAATTACCAGCCTGAAGAGACGCCTGGAACGCTGGGCAGAGCACTTCGGGAAGCAGTTCAGCTGGCCACCAGATTCATTGTCTACTACCATTAGCCCGAGTGCTCCTTGGTCGGTTAGTACCGACCCACTCACCGAAGCGGAGGTCCGTAAGGAACTCCAAGTTCTGAAACGCCATAAGGCGCCCAGCCCAGACAAATTACCCCCGGCTCTTTTTAAAGATGGTGGCGAGACTCTTACAATGCCTCCAACTGGGTTGTTCAGGAGGGTGTGGGAGACAGAGAGCGTACCATCAATGTGGAACGAAGCCATTATCGTCCCCATCTTTAAAAAGGGTCGACGTAATTCGTGTGACAACCATAGGGGTATCAGTCTGTTACCAGTTGCGTCTAAAATATTGGCTGCTGTCATGCTTCGCAGACTATGCAAAATACGTGAAGGATTGATTCGCGAACAGCAGGCTGGATTTCGTTCAGGTCGTGGATGCATTGATCATGTGTTCACCCTTCGTCAGTTGTTGGAACACCGCCACACGTATTGCAGGCCAACGATCGTTGTGTTTCTTGATATTAGGGCTGTCTTCGATTCGTTGGACAGAACTGTGCTCTGGAACTGTCTGTTAGAGAGAGGTGTACCTGAGAAATTTGTTAACATCTTGAAAGCCCTATACAGAAACACCTCAGGTAGAGTGAGGGCATACAACCAACTATCACCACTGTTCCCAACCAACAGTGGGGTTAGACAGGGTTGTCCAATCTCTCAATTTCTCTTTAACTTTGCCATCGATGACATTCTGGAGTCAGCTCTGAAGGGTGTGCGTGAAGGTGGTGTAGATGTGCTACCTGGAGATAGACTTTTCGACCTCGAGTATGCAGACGATATCGTCTTACTGTGCGATAGCATGCAGGCTGCCCAAATCGCACTTAATCAGTTGGCGATCAGTGTCTGTAAGTAAGTATGGTATGTGCTTTGCACCGTCTAAGTGCAAAGTACTGTTACAAGATTGGCAGGAGCCTGTACCTCCAATCACTTTTGCCGGTGAACCGCTTGAAGTTGTTGATAAGTTTGTGTGCCTGGGTAGTTGTGTGAGTGCTGGCGGAGGGGTGACGGATGAGATTTCCAACCGTATAATGAAGGCTAGGGTGGCATACATCAACTTGTGCCACCTCTGGCGCCGTCGCGACGTTAGCCTGGCTGTCAAAGGTCGGGTATACAATGCTTCGGTGCGGGCTGTCTTGCTCTACGCCTGTGAAACCTGCCTTCTCCGGGTAGGCTGAGGATGTGCGGCGACTCTGCGTGTTCGATCCCCACTGTCTCCACAAGATTGCTTGCGTTCGATGGCATCATCGCGTGAGTAATTCTGAGGTTCGGCGGCGCCTGTTTGAACACAGTGGAGATCACCATTTATTGAATATCGTCATCTGGAAACACCGGCTCCGGTGGCTTGGACATGTGCTGCGAATGTCATCGCAGAGGCTTCCGTACAGGTCTCTGTTCGCTGGCCAGCCCTGGGACGGGATGGAAAAGGCGGAGAGGTGGTCAGTCCATGACGTGGCGTCGTGGGATGAAGGATATTTGTGCTAGATTAGCATCGGTTGGTGTGTCACGACTCCCTGGTTGGGGTCTGAGAGATAGCTCGAATCGATGGCTCGAAACGTTATCGGATATGGCCAAGAATCGTAATCAATGGCGAATGTGTTGCGATTTCCTTCTTTCTTCCATTCCCGATGATAGTTAACGAACACTGTTTGAACCTGTTAAGAATGAGTGTTTTCCTTCCAGATGAAGTTCTTTATTCGTTCTCTACTTATAGATATTATTTTCTTTTCCTGCCTTCCTTCCTTTTTTTTCATCTATGTTGTTTTATTATTATTGTGTGGCGCATCCTTCTTGGTGCAATATTGTACCAAGTTTTAATGCGTTTAAATAAATAAAATAATATGAACACAATTTATTGCACAGTGGTGTATTCGCACGACTTCTTAACTTATCCCACCGTGAACGATATGGTATGCCTGAGAGTGGATAGGTTACAGTGATTATTTATTATTTTATTAAGTTACAATTTAATGGTGACTTATCAAGTGAGATTCTATTCCCAAGACTTTCAAGGAGTATACGAAGAACATTTTATGCAGCATACCTATATTTGTCATTCTCTAGCCGACGAATGACTGGGACGCAAACGAAGGATAAGCTTGATAGTTTTGCCATATCTATGTGCATTTATCAATTCAACTGCACCTGCGGTGACAGTTATGTTGGGCGTATTACTACACAGCTTAGCCAACGTGTTAGTGAACATCTCCCATCACGGTGGTTTGTAAAAGGACAGACAAAACAATCCGTAGCTCAATTTTGTCACAATTGATAGCGGTCATGTGGTGGAGAAAACGAGAGCCTTCAAAGTGATTCATCGTATCCCACTGAATCTTTCCAATAGACTTCGTATTCGTTTACTGCATACACAGCTGAGGCAGGCGATAGGCATTCGAACTATTAAACCTAAAATATGTATTCAAAAAAAGTTCGTACAGCCATTATCCCTCCCTTGGCCCATTAAGACATAACCAACTGATGACTTCTACACCACCCTTGACTTATATTTTCAACCCCACCCTCTTATCATCCCTTAATCTTATCATATCTTCATTATAAACGTGTTTCATTTACTTCCCTTACAACCAATCTAACATTACTTAATCGGTTCATTTGTTTTTACTAGCCTTTATCGACTACCACGTCGACCTGAACACTTGTTTGTTTAATCCTACTGTTTCTTCATTGTTCATGTTATCACAGATTGCCTCACTCTTTCATCCTTATTATTGATAAGACCATTTTTATTATTACTATTATGACTAACTGCACAATTTATATTCACCATCGTATTATCCTATAGACAAAACACCATGATTGGTATATATATATATATATATATATATATATACTTTACCAAATAAAAAATATTGTGTTGTAGTTGTAGAAGTCAGTTACCTACCTTGTCAGCACTGCCTGTTGCAATAATAAACTCAGAGAATGGATTGAAAGCCAGACAGTTGACTTCAGCTGTATGCGCATCGACTTGATGCTGTGGTTTACTACGATTTGAACTACGCGTATCCCAAATCATCAGTTTATTATCATCAGCCACCGAGCCGAAAATATGTCCATGAAAAAGATGCCAGGAAACATCTTCGACAACGGAATGATGTCCTGTAAATATGGCCATAGCATTGAGATTACAACCGTCCAACGGTGTTGCATTAATATCCCACAGGCAGATGGTCTGATCATCAGAGGCTGAAAGAAGATGACCACTGAGTAATACATTCCAAGACAGTCCATAACCTTCTTTATGATGACCCTGAAATGTTGAAAAGACTATAAAGTTGAAGGACAACACGCACGTGACAATTAATAAGCTTTATAATAATAATAATAATAATACAAACTAGAAAATACCATCTACCTACCTACCTCTAGGTAATAAACGATATCACAAGCATTCAGGAATTTAAAACAATTCATGACAAATTACAGTGCCAAAGAAAAAAAAACTGTTTATGAGTCTGGCATTCAAAGGTGACACCATTTCGGAATTCATTAAAAATCGTTTATCTAAATGTTTGAAACGTACTTTTCCTGCAGCTGACTTACAACTAGTTTTTACCAGCCGTAATATGATTAGACAATGCGTCAAGGATAGATTACCGCTTTTGTCCACATCCATGTGTATTTACTCTTTTACCTGCTCTTGTGGAGCTGTTTATATTGGACGTGGTAAGCGTAATCTCCGAAAACGTGTAGCTGAACACTATCCAGTCTGGTTAATGAAAGGCGAACGTAGAACTGCGAATTCGTCTATTTGTGATCACCTGTTAGAGTCAGGTTATTTAGCCCCATGTGATTCATCTTTCAAAGTTATCTACATGGCAAAATCGAATCGATCCAAAATTTTGCTTTTTCTTCACTTATGTATAGCCGAAGCTTTAGCTATACATGAACAGAAACCTAAATTATGTGTTCAAAAACGTTTTGTCAAAGCCCTTTCTTTACCTTGGTCGTAGTAATGTTCTTCCTAGTTTTTACTTTATTTTACCACTTGAATTCTTTCCACTTCACTTCACATCTTCATTCTTATTGTAATCGTACTCCTAATTTTTTAAAATTTTTAGACAACACCCGACCTTTTAAAAACATTTTTGATTTCAATTCACTTATAAAACAATCTTTCATAATTTTGTAATTTATCCACTTCAACTCTACCCCTTATAACATTTTAATTATCGTTATTCTTATCACATATATGTATATTGACTGAACAATTATTTAGTGCCACTTAATGACCTTTTCTGTAATATAAATACGACTGTCCAGCTTGAAAATGAAGTCCTTGAAAAGAAATTTCTTCGCTAAACAAAAAAACTGTGTTTTTACTTATGAATTCATGATTAATCCCTCCATCCAGACCCTTAATATTTTTTATTCCCATGGGTTCCAAGTGGAACACAACACATCTCCACTTTCTTCTATTTTATGCTGTCTTCTTCAACTGGTTAGCCTGACGATTGCCCGTAATCTCTCATCTCCACCTTCATGCCACAATTGGCACCGACCACCCGCACTCGTCACTTCCCATTGGGATTCCACTCAAGCGATGTCATTCAACGGCCTCCTCCTCCACCTCCGCGTATGCCCAATTAATCCATCTCCGTTTTCGCCTACATATTTGTTGACCAATCGGCAGCTCTTGGCTGGTTCATTGTTCATTGCCAGCGACAGTTTCTTGTTGTTTCTTTCTGACCATCCGGCTGGCCGCCTGGCTATTTGATCTTCAGTATGGAGCCAGCCATACTGCCAGCTAAGGTGGCAGCAGTTGGTAAAAGTCTGTAGTAGTAACCTGTTGGAAATGCTTTCCGTGACGCACGCGCAGTGCAAGTTTCTGACCCGTATAGAAAAGGTGACTGACTGACTGACTTCAATGATATTTGTGTTGAAAATCCGAACGTTCTTCTTCATGCTAAAGTGGACTGCAGAAGATTTCTGAACTGGTTCCCGGTTCATGAAGGAGTATCTCGGCTTTCCGATTCTGGCTGGCAGGCTGACTGGCTTCGACATCTTCATAAGTTCCCACTGTCTGTGGTTGAAACGATGCTTCCAAGATAAGTGATTAGTGAAGGAAGTAACCTCTGTTAAATCTCTCCCGTTGATGGTGATTGTTGTTGCTGATGGTGGCGATGGTGGTTGGTTATCTTCATCACCTCCCTCTTCTCTATGTTGACCTTTCAGAAATGTAGTGTATTTAATGATAAACATTTCCTCTTATAATATCATGACTTTTTTTCTGAAGTCAAGATTTCTAGTACGGCGATCTGATTTAACGCCTTTGAAGGTTTGACATAAATTACCACATATACAGAGTAATCAACCTATATGAATTCTCCTAAATTTTGTGAATTCATTGATGTTTTACGGGAGTATGATTGATTTGTGTGTGTAGCTGTGGTCTATCTTGACTAGAATGCGCCGCCTCCAGACACTGGGTGGGGGACCGTTGTGGGTTTGAATGCTCTCTCTCCCTCTGTCTATGATACCTCCACCCACCCACACACCCGAAATAGTGTAGCACCATTGTTTGGTGTACACGGTTGGCTTTACCAGTAAAAATAAGAAAGTCATCACACATTGTGTACCTTGAACATAACTAAACATTATAGCAGAAGGGTACTCAATACTGATTTCAGTATTCCTGAAACATCTAACGAAAAAATTTCGATGATTTCATCAGAATCAATATCACACAAAAGTATTTTAATAAAAGGATGCTTTGTTGAGCGATTGGTTCTCGTTTTGTTTGTTCCCATAGTTTCTTGTTGGTTCTTGTTCTTTCCGGCCATCTGATCTTCAGTATAGAGCGAAGACAGCTGTTGATAAAGGTCTGCAACAGGCTGTTGGAAATATTCTTTGTGACACGCCAAGTTTCTGATCTGTATAGAAGAACTGACTAACTTGACGTTTGTATTGAAAATCCGAATTTTGTTGTTGAGTGTTGCTGAGTGAACGAAGATTTCGAGATTGGTTTCAGGTTGATGAATGTGTTTCTCGCCTTCTCGATTCTCGATTTGACATCCTCGTCCGTTCCTCCTCCTGTAGTTGAGACAATGCTCCCTAGCTAGATAAGTGAATGAAGTAACCTCTTTCAAATCCCTCCTGTTGATGGTGATTGGCGCTGGATGTTGCTGCTGCTGTTGTTGTTGGTTGGTTGGTTGGTCATTTTCATATCCTCCGTCTTGTCTATGTTCACCTGGAGTCCTGTCTTTGTTGCTTCTTCGACCAGTTTGTCGGTTTTCGATGAATTCATTAAATCCAACTTTACCAAACTTTCTTGCTTGTATCGGGAAACAAATGTTTCCAAAAATACATTTATCAGGAGCTTTAGATCAATTACCTACAACATGGGAATATATGCTACAGTATTCAGTCCTTAAACCATAGATTATTATATAAATATAAGCAATTTAACCAATGACGGTGCATTTTTGGACCAAATAATAATAATAATGTGTTAAATGTTTTGAACGTCAGTCACCAACGATGATTATAATGATAACAAAATAATCATAATTAGGGTTTATGCACCTGGCGATAAGAACAACGAAGGTAGTAAGTGATACGCGTGTATATGTAGACGATTCAATCAATGACTAAATTAGGTGAAATCTCAAAAGTTACGTAATACTAAAGATGGGTGAAGTGGACAGATAATCAGAGGTTGAATAAACATCATAAAAATACGAAGGAAATGGAAAATGTGAAAGGGTGCATGGGAGGGTATTTTTAATAAGACTTTACCTAGGCGAAGGGAGAGATAAAGGTAGAACAAACTTCTTTTGTTGTATGCAAAGACAAAAAGGATTGTCCCCTCGAATTAATCCCCATAACTTCCGCTGTGTTTAAAAGACAGGTTCGAATTCCGTTCAAAGGGTTCTATGGAATGCGATAGATAACACTTATCATTATTATTATTATTATTTGATCCCCAAAGTCACCGTCATTGGTTACATTCTCTCTCTCTCTCTATATATATATATATATAAATCTGTGTAAACTAGAGTACAGTCTGAAGAAGATTTAATTGAAAACAATAATACTGTTCGCTTCTATGTCCTGTTATAAATATTTGAAATGTTTTGTGGAAACTAGTGGTCAAAAAAAAACAAGACATATAATAGGCGAACAATACTTTTGTTTTCAATTAGATCTTCTTCAGGCTTTAATTTACATAGATTTATCTTCTATAGTTTGGTTTGTAAGGATTAGTTATGTTTTGCGAGTTGATCACGGACTGATATCAGTTAAAGAACCATTGAAAACCAACAGGGAGTACTGCCAGACAGCTGCTGTTTCATCAGCCTAGTTTGGGAATCATCGGCAGTACGCACCCACTGCACCGGGATTCGAACCCAGGACCTTCCGCTTACAAGGCAAACTGGCTCGTATACCATTCAGCCACTCGCTGGGACCCGATTCAATGGCTAGTGCATGAATTCTAACTTCTACCAATTCGTGATTTTAGCGCGACCCCAACTATTGTCGTTGGTGGGACATCCATCCACACACGTGACTTCGAACTGGACCTCACTGGTCACGACTTCTCACTAGAACTCCAGGAAGCTCCAACCTGTAGCAAGTCACTAGCGAGCATGTAAATTAGAGTGAAGTCTGAAGAAGATCTAATTGAAAACAATAATATTGTTCGCTTATATGTCTTGTTCTAAAAACAAACAACGAAAAAACGATTGACATCAAACATTCACACATACACACAAACGTAAACACAAAAAAGGCACAACTAGCATCTTATTTTTTTACCGTAAGACGTAAATCCGGTCGACAACCTTGCTCCAATGATGCATTCGCAGGATGACTTGGATAATTAAATATTAAAACATCTCCACTAGGTGTTTTCGTAGCTATTATATCTGAATTTTGTGGCATAAACCGTGCACGATTCACCTCTCCTTCATGGTTGATTTTCATTGATATTTCCAACTTGCCAGATGGAAAATAAAATCCACCGAAATCACCCCGCTGACTATCATAAGCACTTGCATCGAATTCAGCCTGGTCATTTGGTAGATGAACTGTCACTATCAGTAGGTGATTCTGTTCATCCGATGTGTGAGTCCCGAGTATCAAGTGGTGAACGGAATAATCCCTTCCAGTCCTATTGTAACAAGAGAAGACAAGGGCCAGGCAACAGATCGTTTATTAAGGAAATCAAAGCATATTTATATATTTTCATGTAAATTATTATAGATTAGTTAAGCAAACAAACACAGTCTTCTGATTGGTCGTTGTTTCTCACTTAAAGTTAATCTTTCATCTCTTTGTAACTGTTTCTTGAATGTCACATCATCTATATGTTAATTCGTACCAAAGTCTGCTGTGGTCGGTTTTGAATCAGTCTCTGTTCATATTTTCTCACGCCAAATCTTGGGAACGTAAACATTGACGTGAATTACCGTCTACCAATTTGGTTAGTGGACAGCTCTCACCACACTCGTCCCCCCGTCAAATAGTTTGGACTGAAGTCGGCTTGATCTTGTTGGTGCTGGCGTCATCGTTGGCTTGTCACGCTCTATCCATTTCTGGAGCTCGCTGATGTTCACCCATTTCTCTGTGCTTACCATTGCGATTGTGTCTGCGTAACTACATCTCAACGTGACCATATGTGGTCCTTCACACTTCTTTGGAAACTGTTTGCCTGACCCTGCCGCACATTCGTAGGTATTTCGCCTCACACTTTCATATGCTGCTTTCTCCCGACCTCCCAGCAGCGTCCCAAGCAGCAGCCTCATCGTTGACAGATCTTGAACGCCACTCAACTGCGAAGAAGCCTCAAAGTCCTACCCGAAGACCTATATGTCTCCATCAAAAACTGCAGGGCATAGGCTTTCCATTTGTCAGTAGGCAGCGACACCAAATGTAACAAAAGAAGACAAGGGCCAGGCAACAGATCGTTTATTAAGGAAATCAAAGCATATTTATATATTGTCATGTAAATTATCATAGATTAGTTAAGCAAACAAACACAGTCTTCTGATTGGTTGTTTCTCACTGAGAGTTAATCTTTCATCTCTTTGTGACTGTTTCTTGAATGTCAGATCATCTATATGTTAACTGTGTCCGCCTACGCAAAGTCTGCTGTGGTCGGTTTTGAATTAGTCTTTGTTCATATTTTCTCACGACAAATCTTGAGAACGTAAACATTGACGTAAATTACTGTCTACTAATTTGGCTAGTAGACAGCTCTCACCACACTATTAAAACAAAAATGTGTATTTGTAAAGGAGGAGGAGAAGAAGAAGAAGAAGAAGAGAAAACAACAATAACAACAACTACCACTATCACCTACTTTTCTACAGATGGTAACCATTGAGCAGTTAAACTTGGCCATTCAAGACAATGTGACATAAGCATATCGTATAAGAAGGGTGTATTTCGCTTCCATATCTTATACTCTTCATTGATCACTCTCTCTTCAATGATATCTTCAGAATCTGTTTGATGCATCTATAATATATATACATAGATAGGGTAAGCAATTAGCACACAAGTGTAAAGCATAGTCGAATTACCATCATTATGTTTTGCCACTGACCGGAACCACTAGATATGGCGTATATTATAGCACTACGAATTCTTAACTACCTACCTATAAAAAGAAAGACAAAGCAGATATAGCAGAAAATTTTAAGTTACAAAAATATCCGACAGACATATGAATAAAGAAGTTCACTTTCAGTGAGCAACTATTGCAAACACCGACAGTTTCCGACTCCTATATGACTGACTGACTGGTTTCAACATAGAACTAGTTTGCACAGATGTGCACCAGTTCGAGTTGCCAAACTCCCTCCCCCCCGCCATCTACCACACAAACCAAAAGAGTGGTTCAAAACACACACACACAGAGATAATAAACACAAGTGTGAGTATGGCAAAAAGAATAGTAATAGGGAAGAAGAACAACAACAGAGTTTTATTGGATTTGGTCAACCACAAAGTATGTATGAATGCATCTGCGTCAGCGCCAGCCATCACCGAGAACGACTTTGAGGGAGCCAGCCAGCCAGCCAGCCATATCACCAATTATCTCCAGCCACTGGTTTCCATCACCATCCCGAGGACCCCAACCACGCAGTCAGTCAGTCAGAGAGTCTACACCTTCTTCCTACGTGACTGACTGACTGGCTGGCAGGCAGGCTGGCTTAAACTAACTGTTGTGGATTTCATTGACTGATGGTGAAGTCATGTTTTGGTTTGACCGCCGCCACCACTACCACTAACTAACCCTTGCGCACATTTGACTTGCATGTCCTCATTAATATTATTATTACTATTATTATCACTATTTTCATTATTTATTTTATTTTTACACTTCCTTACATATTTCCTGACTAGATTATCCGGGTAATTATTAAGTCAGGAAACATGTAAGGACACGTAAAAATAAAATAAATAATGATAGTACCGATAGTGATAATAATAATAACATTAATGACGACACCAACACTAAGGAATCTAAATCATCAGTAGTAATTCCATACAAGGAAGGAACCGCGGAAACCTTACGCAGAATTCTTAACATGGTGGACAGGAATAAAAGTGGCTGGAATTCAAACCAACCACAAACTCAATTGAAAACAAGCTTTGTCGGTTAAAGGACCAATCCTGCCAGTGGAGCCTTTAAAACAAAACAATTCAGTTTGTCTAATACCCTGCCTGCGATGATTATCAGGTCAAATGTATACGTCAAAGTAGTAGAACAGGAGCAGTGAGTCAGACTAGCCGAGCATTAAAAACTAGCAAAATCTAGTTTAGTTAACCCGAATAAGATCAGAAATCTGGAGAATAGTTCAGCTATCGCAAGCACTACATGCAACTACACACAACCATACAATAGGCTGGATGGGATAGGATGACAGTTTTAATATCTAATGTCACAGGGTGGTGACTGGAGAAGATTGATAACGGAAGCTTTGTTTACCGAATCAACTGCAAATACAACTAATAGGAATGATTCAACACCTATCCACGTCGACATCTGGAAAATTCTACCACCCCAACGACGACAAATAGGAGAAAACGAAGAAAACTATAAAACTCAAGTTTCAAAGTCGTGTGATTACAATTGATATGATTATGAACAGTAATAAATTTTGTTCGAAACGTCATCCAGTAAATACTAATACTGTTTCACTGTGTGATATATCTAATGAACAAACTAATAAGCTATAACCAAAGTCTAATGCATTTTTGATACTTAATTTAATCTACAATCGCCATGCATCTGCCCCACAAATGTCTTCAGAATTGTATTTATGCTCTTTTGAAACGTGGTAGAGTAGCCTAGCAAATTTGACACGTCTTTTCTTTTGTAAAGCGAAAGAGGGAGAGGGAGACGGACAGCTGCATGCTGTACCCAAATTACAATGCTTTTAAAGCTCAAAAAGACAAATTGGATTCCAAAGAAAACTTTAGTAACAGCGGTTTTAGAGTACAACTAACCCACATACAGAAACAACGGATGTTTATCTGCAATATATTTATGATTTTACCTAATATGGGATGAACATAACACGAAAATCATGAGAGACTGAGCTTTAGCGCAGAACTTTGAAAAAAGATGAAAAATACCCAAATGAACGATAGATAATGAGCAGGAATGTATGGAAGGAAGTAAAGTGCCGTGGAAAACATCAGGATTTAATGGATCAAGGATCAAGAAATCAGAGTGAATGCATTTAAGCCACCAAGAACAATTTTAAAACATATAACCAATAGTCTCGAGGCGATAGTTCTTAGCATGCCGAAACCCGAAACAAGCAGTCTACACTTCTCTAGGTGACCAAAAGCAGCAGTTACAGTTAAATATATATGCCCTATATAATTCATTTTTACTGCAAACATATCAACGAACAATTGACCCACTTCTTCCCTGTTCATCCACTTTTTCAACGAACAATTTACCCACTACTGCTATTTTCGTGACGAAAAAAAGCCCTCATTTTCCCACTTTGCCCAAATTCGAGCAGAAAACTGCCCCAGTTTTTAACCACACATCCCATGTCCGAACAAAATAACCGACTGGGTAGATACACTTATTTACTCTTGCCCAAAATGGAATTTGAATCAATTATAATATGGCCAATAATTACACGTACCAACCTAAAAACAGTACTTACAAACGAAAATAGATATAGGACGGTTTTGATTGGCCGTCGGCAAATTCGCCTCCTATTGGTCTTACAAGCGACGTACCGTTGACCTTATATTAAGCGCATGTTCGCATCCAATATCCAATATCGTTTTTGCGAGCTAGTATAAACCAATTCGATTTCTTTGTTCTCTCTTCTTGATTGCGAGGTGAAGGTTCCTGATCTTCGGTAAACTTCTGCGTAGCTTGTCCCGACACTCGAATGTCGAAGCTTTGGTTAACTGCAAAAGGAGTAGTGCTGAGATTAATTACATGTTGTTCGCAGTATGCGGTGTGATGAGACTTTGTAACTACTGTGAATGGAGTTGCTCCTTTCATCAGTAAGACCTCTGGTATCGTCGTTTAAGGAAAAGGGATAATAATAACATATATAATTAGTGTAGATTGTTCAGACTAACAGAAAAACAAATAAAGAAAAAGTAAAAACAGACAGCTAATTAAACGTGAAATGGATATCTGTATATACATATATAAATATATATATGAATATAATGTCAGTAATAATAATAAGTTTGGATGTATTAGTTGGAGTTGTCAGGAGAGTAAGAAGGGAGAGAATATAAGAAGTAAATTGACGAATTTGGTTGTCTACCCATGAATGTGTGTGATTTTAAAGGGATAGGCAACTTGAACACAGTCCTTTTATCGCTGCATGATTTTCCAGCCTTCGCTTAAAGGTGACCACAGACAGTACCATAGCTACATCTGACAGCAAAGCGTTCCAGGGACGGCAAATCCTCAGTGAAAGGAAGTTAGAGCGCACTCGGGTCCTAGCCCTCTGGTGAGCTATCCTTCTTCGATTTCCACGAAGAAGCCTATGCATACTTAATCACAGAACACCTTTGTTTGGGTGATTCTAGTCATTAGTTATCTTGTAGGCAGTAACCCTAAGCCTACGGTAGCTAAGTGTTAATAGGCCTGATTTTATTTAGCCTTTCATCATACGGTTTATTAGGGAGACCAACAACTCCTTTTGTTGCCCGTCTTTAAAATTCTTTCCAAGAGGTGGGCATCTCTTCTAAGCCATGTGGGTGCAATGACATTATGCGCTTCAAGGTGTGGTCTGACGCATGTTCTGTATAACTTTAGGAAGAGCTCAAGAGGGAGTGCACCTAACTGTCTATGTGTAAAGTGTATGACCATATATGCCCTCTCCACCTCTCCCGTTTAATTTACGCTTGTGTCCATTTTTCCGCTAGAACTAGATCTAGGTCGTGCTTCAACGTTATGCAGGATTAGCTATTGTTGCACAAGGTGTAACTTGCATTCTGCAGACTACAGGTGTGTAATTTCACTTCTTTGCACTTTTTCAGGTTGAAAGTCACTCCATCGGCCACCGCACAGTCTTCTAGAAGCCTTGGATCTGCCTGCAGCTTTTCTGAGTCCTCCGGACACTTTATCGCCCCCCATATCTTTACGTCGTCGTCTGGCAGCTTAGACGGCATGGTAGATAATTTAAAAGAAATCAAAAACATCAGTGGTCCTAGGATAGAACTCTGCGGCACTCCTGATGACGAGCTGTGCCAAGATGATCGGACTCGACTGACCTTAGTGCAAAATTGTCTTTCAGCTAGGTAGTCTTTTAACCATAACAGATGTGGCTTACCTATACCTGCCTGACTTATTCTGTGTGGTAGAAGGCGATGGTAAACTGTGTCAAATGGCTTCTCAGAGTCTAGGAAGACCACATGGACTGGAACATTCCTATCCCAGCATAGTGTCGAATCGTCCCAAGCTGATAGTACGTTTGTCACACAGGATCTACCTTTCCTGAAGTCGTGTTGGGCTTCATGGAGTGTATTAGTCCCATCGAGATGCTTCCTGATGTGATCATCAATAATACTTTCCAGTAATTTTGATACAAATGGGAGTAGGGCAACTATGCATTTCAGCATAGTCTGCCTTGTTATGCCACAGACATGGTTGTGTAGCGTCCCACTGTATGTGCTGAGGGAGAACAAGATTGAATCCTATGACTGCGTGGTCACTACTTCCTAGTGGGGTCATGATCTGGACCTTATTGACGAGTAGTTGGTCACTAGTTAGAATATAATCTAGTTTTCAATGACTTTCCACTGGGGCCCCATCTAATGTCGTCTCCAAAATTCTCAGTCAGTCCTGTATTTCAAATAGTTTGCAGTTGATTTCGATCGAATTTTCCCTGAGCATTACCCGAGCCGAGGTTCAGTGATGGGGCACTTAAATCTTCAGCTGTGGTGATTTGGTCATAGCCCAAGTCCCGTATCCCTCTGATAGTACTGAACAGTAGCTGGTTGTGCTCTGTCTCACAAGTGTGTGATCGGTAGATGCTACCAAGTAAGTGCTTGGTGGGGCCTACGGTGACATGGCTCCATGTGCAGTCTGGGAGTTAAATAAGTGGTGGGTCCATTGCACGTACACATTTAAGTTGCTTGTCAAAGTATATGGCAACTTACCCATTCCTTGTTATCCCTGTCTCTCCTGACCAGAACCACATCACTTATACTGATTTCGTTGTCGGTAATAGTGGAGGTTAGCCACGTTTCAGTGAGGATTGTTATTTTAAGTTCTGGAGGTTTCTGAGTTCACCTACTTTCCTTCTCAGCCCTCTTAAATTGCTGTGAAAGCAGCTGACAGTGCGTCTAACAACCTCAGCGTCTTGTGGGGTAGTTGACGTGAAGCTGTCTGCTGGTAGGGGACTTAATGTTGGGACTAGTTGGCCGATTCCAATGGAACCGACCCGTTGTAGTTTTTTCCATGGATTTAGGCAGGACACTTGGGTGACACATACTGTTATTCCCAGAACTACGTCTCTCCAGTATCACCGAGGCCTGAAGGCGTATTAAGGCCTCCGTTTGCTACCTCCTCGTGGTTTGGGGTCTGCTTTCGCAGCATTGGGTGTGTCCTCCCACTTTCTCTTGGTCTCGTGCCACTGTTGAATTACTGGGGCCAACTGTTCCTAGGAAATGAATTTGACACTTAGCGGCCCTGGGGAACTAAGCAGTGTGAGATGAGCAAAGTAAGGTAGTCGAAAAATTAAGGTTGCTCCAGGAGCACTGAGGAACATTTGAGAAGACAGCCATCTCCATTACTGTACGCCATGCAAGTGTTTTTCACAATCAGTGCCAGTTTCCAGCCCCGGAACACTGTGTGTGACCATAAAGGTAGAAGGCATCTGTTTCGGTGACTCCCTTGCCAGTCGCCTGCTAGCCCATTGCCTTTCATGTCTCACTCTTATGCTGGAACTCATGTCAAAAGCTAGTACCTGAGCCAGTAATAGTGTACTTTCAGTCTCTTCTGCAGTGCCCAGTGTAACCCTTAATGGGGATGGCTTACCGTGAGGTGCATGGAAACCTCTGTACAGCCTGCACAATTTCGCTGAACTGATGTTCAGACCTAATTTATTGCTTAAATGAGACCACTGTTCTTGATCGAACAGGACCCGTTTTCCAAGCAAGCTATCATTACACACGGGTACATTAAACAGGATAAGGGGGTTAGACCGACTTACCTTCGACTTAGATTTGGTTTTTGGCTGCTTGTCCTCCTTTGTCGGGTCAGTTACTTTGGACTTCATTAGGTTCTGACTAACCTTTGTTATGTTACCGGGCTTGCTAGTGGATGAAAGAGGTGCTCTGGTAATTCCATCTTCCCTTATGCTGTCGGTGTAACATGGGGAATCTTCACTTTATGAAGAATGGTATTTCCAGTCGGTTGGGCTGGAGTATCCTTCTTACTGTCTGTACCAAGTTTTGGTAGTGTGGTGTTAGCAGGTGGGGAGATGTATGAGACTGTGTTGAGACACAAGAGAGGCGTGCTGTCTCTGCTATCCGCAGACACGCTGTGGGAGACTGTGCCAGGGCGACAAAGCGGGCAGAAGTACCAGAACCATAGGAACGGGTTATCTCGCATAAACTCATAATATGGTTTTGGCCCCCCTTTGTCACAACGGCAGTGTGCCTTCGTTTGCAAAAATTGCATTCAAACGTTGAATCGGTTTTAGAAACGATAACACTACAGGCCTGACATTATTATATGTATATGTATACGTAATTTATCACATTGATGATACCTGTAAACCGGCGTCCCTCATGTACGAAAATGAGGCGTAGTACCAGAATAGGCCAGAGGTACAATGGTCTTTAGAATAGGTATGCAAGATGGGGTTGTTGTCCCTGGGTTATTTTCTCCTCTGGCTGAAGTCGTTGTGACTACAGAACATAGTGTTTTGGTGCTTTTTCTAAGGTTACTTTTAACAGCCATATTAACAATCACTATAACGTATACTACATACGAATAAGGGGGCAACAGTATCTACCCACAAGAACAAGCTTAAGACTGATAAAGTACAAAATAAGGAAAAGAAAAGGTTTTCGACTTTACCTACTGCTTTCTGGTTGATCGGCTTCACAGTAGTCAAGTGGTAGACCAACAAGTCTTGATTATCTGAAAGAGTGAGGAGGATTCTGCTACAGGAGTAGCACTTGAGGCTTTTGCAGTAGTTCGAGACAGCAGGACTCACCACACAGATATTTGATATGTAAGTAATGTTTGAATTTAATTCACCAGCTAGGAAGATCAGGTTTCCCAAGTGGATAATTCAGAAAATAGGTATTTTCCAGTCGGAGAGGAAAAAGCACGTCGTATTGCAGGGAGCGTGCGCATGTTACGGTCTAACAAAGCAAAGGGAAATTTCGAAATCCTATGAAGGTCGTTAAGCACTGGTTATGATTTTCTTTTGTATTAACTTGATTGATAAGTTAGTATTCTACCTTCTTTCCACGGTCGTGTCTCAGAAACGATGGTACTTCATTGATTTCGGTCTATAAATTGCAGAACAGATACTCACAAAGACTTTTATGTGTCCTTCACGTAACCATATAAGCTGACAACTGCTCATAGGCCTCGGTTGGAACGAGATGATTCAAGTGACGATTCAGTCATGGCTTAATGGCATTCAGACAACGCCTTCACAAATAATGTCCGAATCTTCACCTGTAGCATTGTGTGGAAACAACATGTTTCTTCTCGTGACATCAGAAAACAAATCGAATAATTATTTTATGTGGAGAATTTCAAAGGTTTCTG